ATATATATATAAAGGACTTATCGTAATAAAATTATGTCATTTTTTTCATCTTAGAAATTAAACTTGGAGTTTAAGAGTATATTTTTCTTATTTTACGTACAAAATTGAATTGAAAAGTATTTTGACTTGAAATTTCATTGTTATTCGTATGTGCGCGTAATTACTTATTCGAAAGAAATATGATACATTTTTCGCGAATGTATTTTCGAAGATTTATGTCGAACTTTTTGTTCGCATGGATATTACGTACCAGATTTTCCTCGCTGCTTGATTTGACGTGATCCCAGGAAACTCCCATTGAACCGTTGTTGCATCGTACGTAACTGCGCAACGTATTATTTGCAATAATGGTTCTTCTTAACACACAATTACACCCGTAGCTCCTTAGGACGAAAATAGTTTTTTTTCACGATCTGTTATTCGATCTCGAAACTTTTGAATGTCAACGTGATTTACGAACAATTGTTGAACACTGTCCTACTTTGTGAACTTTCTTGGCTGGTAACGTCAATCTGCCCCTGTTGTTTGTACAGACTATGGCAATCGGCACGCAATTCGATACTGATTAAAAGAGATAATTATTCAAAGAAATACAAAACATACGAGCATAAGAGTATATACTCGATTCTTTTACTTACGAATATTTCGTTCAAACGTGTTTTTAAACGTTTTATTTCTTATCGCAATTAATTATGTGTATTATTATCTCTATCTTACTACTATCGAATAATAGATGTGTAATGATAGAAAAAGTGACTCATATTCAATATGTCTCATATGTATCCGCAAAACCGATTTGTTTACGCCATGTAAAATATGCAATAAAAAAAATTGTCGCGGCTTGTAAGTGGCGTGATGTATTTTTATTTTTCTAGCAATTGTTATTCGGAATGGCTTATTTGGTAGCACGAAGCCGCGCTATATTCGGTAGTCTTTTATCGTGTTTACATATAAGCACAGCGGCGCCGCCTCGTTTCGTCAAATAATGCGATTTATTTGTGCCTACTTGTTTGCTGTTTTTATCAGCCGCGACAAATCCCACGGCGCCTCCGATGGCAAACGTACAATTTGTCTTGTTACATTGTTCAGAAAGAAAATCATGTGTAAGGTCAAGGAATGACCTTATTTGGAGATATTATTTACATTATCATTTCGAGAAAATTGTATATTGTCTCGGAGATACACAATTTGTATAATTTCAAAGAATTATAAAAAAGGTAGCGTTAATATAAACATATATTATATTTTGAAAAATTGCGCAAGTAAATTTCTCTTGAGAAACTCTCATTCAACTGATTCCGCATATAAAATCAAATAAGAAAAAGTAATAGAAATAGTTTTGTAACGTTCTGTACAAACAACAAATATTTACCCGCGTCGCAGCACATCGCGTGATGGTGCGATCGAAGTATGAACTTCAAGACATCAGGATTGCGTATAGACATTTTTCATATATCGTCGCGTGATGTTGTAATCGAAATATGAACTTCGACACATCAGAATTGCGTATAGACCTTTTCATATATCGTCGCGTGATGTTGTAATCGAAATATGAACTTCGACACATCAGGATTGACGTAATATAGAAATTTTCGTCATCGCATATGCGTTCCGATGCAAACTAAGTGAGTGAAAATTTTCGAAAATAAAAAAAAGAAAAAAAGAAAAAACGAAGAAAATCACCGTGTCCGCGTACTTATTCTCGTTAGTCACCGAGGAAGAGTAGCTTCATAATGAAAGAGCCGATACGTGACCGATTCTATAGATTTCGCAGAGCCTCTCGAGCTCTTGAACCAATAATACGTGAAATATCAGGTAATACGTGCTTGAACATCAAGCCTACTGCTCTAGTTTCATCTCTCTAAAGTTTTTCTCTGGCTTTTATGCTTGAATGCAATTCGCGAAATTTGGGTGTTTCATCTGATGTCAGTATGAAGCATAAACATACATATAAATGTTTTCTTATATTTCTACGATTTCTATGATAAAACTTTTAAAAATGTTTCAAAATATTAACGGAAATGCAATGTTTCTTTATCATTTTTAAACCGACTATCGATAATTGGTTAATTACCTATTAACAAATGTTTGCAACAAAATTTATTTCTTTTTATAAAAATAAATTTCTTTTGTGTATGTTGTTTCATATGTTTTAAAAATTGATTCAGAAAAGTGAATAGTCATGTTTGATTAGCTGCATTTAATTTGTTGAAAAATTTAATTTGATGTGTTAAAGTAGTAGTTTTCTATGCCCTAATTCTTTTTGCTGCAGATGGAAGTCTCAAACTTTCCAAGAAATGTATTGTTTCTCTCGACGAAGTTGAAAATACAATCTGGTTTTCTCCGTGCTGGTTATTGTTAGCGTTTGCCATCGAATCGGTGTATGTCAAAATCGATCGCAACCTCCTGTAATGGATTTATCTGTCCCACCCACATCTTATCTGTTTCTTTTCACGATTGAGAGACCCTCTGCTGTCTGACGGCTTATATTTTATGTCAAATAATAATAAGTCTAATAAAAGATTGACATATCAATATATTTTAAAATATCTTTTTATTATATATGTATATAATGTCTCAGAAGTCACAGTGTACATGAAATTGCGATTTTCTGTGCTAGAAGAAGCAACTTTTCTTTACTAATAAAATTGCGCTCGGAAAGTAATTTTTAAATTAGAGTGATTTAGAGATAACACGTTCAAGTTACGTGTTAATTAAAATTAGCACGTCCTCAACTTATATATAATTTTAGTAATTTTATTAAAGATTTTCTAACAGTTACGCATATTTAAATGTCACTATTCTAATAACTAATAATTTCAGAAATTTTCTAATTGTTAATTTTGAAACAGCAAGAAAAAATAAATTAGATAACATGTGAATAAACACTTAAGTTGAATAAAACATATTATCCATAGAATGGATATGTGTACAAGTGGAAGATCTGCACTTTGAACGTATTTAAAATACTTAATCGACTCTTTTTAAGTTCAAAAATATATTTGATCTAAACATTAAAGCATTTTGAATGTGCTTTACTTTTATATTTATTTTATTTTATTTTTAACTGTTATTTTAGTTAGAAAATTAAAAATCTTATTTTTGTAATTTAATTTATTGGTAAATTGTGGATTGAATTTCTTTGTAATCAATCAAAATTGAATTTAATTTAAAAGAAAAATCGATTACAATTTTATTTATTAATCAACATTTTAATAAATATATATTAAGGGATGGGTAAAGAGGTGAAAGGTGTTAAGTAAGTGATAAAATAACACGAATGTGGTTAATACGTCTTTTTCTACGTTTCTATTTATTATGAAAATATAATACAAAACATCCTATGTTGTATTACATAGATAACAATGCTCAATTAACGTTTTTTTTCCTTTTTGTCTTGTTAACGTTACCATCCAACACTATGAGAAGCATGTCGGGATAGGTAAGGTTCTTGTTCTCGTCTCTCTTCCTCTTTTTTTATTTATTCATTTTTCCTTCTTCAATTGGAGAAAAGGCCCGATATACAGAGAGATATATAGACGAAACGTTATAGAGCAAGATTACAGATCTGAGAACGAAGAAATCAAACTAGTTTTACAAAAAAAGAGCGCCCGTTAGAGCACGAGCTAGACGGTAAGAGGTTTACAGGCAGGTTTAGACAGAGACAGGGGAAAATGGGTGAGGGGGGGGGGGGTTAGAGGGATGGATTTTTAGGTCTTGTTTCGCGTGTCGATGCACAATTGGAGTTTTGTATTAGCGCTAGTTTACAAATAATACAAATGTATGTAAATATTCGTTATAATAATAGGTTCTCTCTTAGTGAGAAAGAAGCTTAAAGCTAATTCATCTAGCGTCACTATCATTTTCACACTATGCTAATACTACGTGTTCCAGCTGGTACCCATGAACAGCTTGGTCGTTTGACGAAGGTCCTCCGATATTAAGAGACACACGAGAGTGGTGTCTCGTCGTCAAGTTTCACGCGCAGCGTACAACATACATACCTCTTTTTTGAGCGACTTCTCAACGAAATGCGTAATAACGATATAACGAATCGCTCGTAGCGACAGCGCTGTCCGCGATCCATATCCCATATTTAGCGTTAAACATAATTGTGATGTAACACACGATCCTTACGATGATGAGATATAAATAAAAAGATAAAATCAAATAGGCGGATAATTAACGCTAATTCTGAGATACGAAATCGATGACACTTTTGAGCATTGGACAAAAATGTTGTTCTAACGGATATTGCATATATCGCTATTTATCGATACTTTTCACAATACAAAATTTTCGACTCAGTGAAAAATAGATTTAATAACACGATTACTTCCAACAATATTCACCTTGATTTACACTGTCGACGAGTGATCGAGAAACTTTTGCTAATTTTAAAAGAATGCAATTAAAAATTTGCATAGAAAAATTTGCAGTGTAAAGTGTGTCATTTCAAAAAAGTTAAATAATTTTAAATCTTCCATTATCAAAATATTAACGGAAGAATAACTCTCTCTCTCTCTCT